TGTCATTCAGTGGGGAAGACTTGGCCCATTCTAGCATATTTTCATAGACATTTCCATCATAGCGTCCCAACACACTCTGAAGTAGGTGATCACTGAAGTCAAATGCATCCACCAGAGCCACGGCGTTTGGCCTGATGGCGGCCAAAAGGTCCAGCAATTTGGCGGTCATATTGTCCAGTTGGTCATATGACATGAAGCCACCCTATGAATGAAATAGACTGACGTCATGCAGTGTTGAGATTTTACTTTGTAAATGTTCAAAAGATGTTCAAAGCTTTACCCAAATGATTTTGATCTGATTATTATCAAAGAGTTATACTCTCTCTTACATTCTACACACAAACATGCTTTCTCATCTTTCTCTTCTGTGTGCCTCTCATGTACATCCCTTCTATCTGTTTACACACACATACACACTAAACATTTCTCTCTCTCTCTCTCTGTCTCTCTCTCTCTCTCTCTCTCACACACTCTTACTCCTTTTTTGTTTCTCTAACACACTTTCTCTCCCATCTCCCATTCCATCCCCCCTCTCTCTTCTACACACACACACACTCTCTCTCTCTCTCTCTCTCCTCTCTCTCTCTCTCTCTCTCTCTCTCTCAGACACACACACACACACACACACACACACACACACATTAACTCTCTCTCTCTCTCTCCCTCATCTCATTTTCTCTCTCACACAAACACACAACCACTTCACAGCCAGATACATTGTATTTCACAACATCCCTACCTGTAAAAAGTCTCCAGCATTATTCAGGATACCATCCACAGCAAACAGCTGACACAGCTGAGTTAACACCCTGGCAACATCCTCATGGTGGCCGTATTGTTCAATGGAATCCACAAAGTTCTTCAGCACATAACACTGGACATGGGCCTGGAAAAATAGGTCAACATAAAATAAGGTCACACATAAAAGTGGTCATGGGCTAAGGAAAAAAAGATAAACCCAATTGGGCTTAGGAAAAAAAGATAAACCCAATTTTGTTTACCAGTTACAATGGACTTAGGAATGGAAAATTTGTCAACACAAAAGAAGGGTACCAGTTACAATGCGCATGGGCCTGGAAAGATAGGTCAACACAAAATTAGGTCATCAATTACAGTAGGCAATAGCCTAGGGGAAAAGGTCAACACTGCAATTGGTCATCAATTACAGGAGGTATACATGGGCCTTGAAAAAACTGATTGCAGAGGACAGGAGCCTTAACAAAAGGAGGCTATTTTAACTAGATGGACAGAGGTCATTTGAATTCCTTACCTTGGCACAGTGGACTAACTGGACAGAGGCCAGGTTCCAGGCCACCTCCTGGGGCTGGCCTCTCTCCATGTGGGCCTTCATTTGCAGGGCAGCTTTACCAATTAACCTGAACACAAATACAAAATCATACAGCAATGCTGGTAAATATACAGATGTAAAACAGGAAGTTCAAAGAAACAGGCATGCAATGTGAAGATAAGTTGCAATTTACAGTAGATGATAAATGAGTTGAAAAAAAAAAAAAGGAATCAAGGAATATATATGACAAACTGTTTAAACATTTTAACCTCTCAAATCAAAATGCCTAATATTTTAATTTCCTCCTCAATTGATTGCACTGGTAGATCTATATAGTGATCCACATCTCTGGCAAGTATTTTAAAATTTAATCATTTAATACAAAATAAAAATTAAAAACAGTGAAATTATGTGCAGGGATGGGTCAAGCAATGATTGGTAAAAAAACTGCTTTTATCTGAGGGAAAGTTACCATTTTGGCACATAAATCGCAGACAGGACACCTAAAACATATCTCAGGTTACCTTCTAGCCCTGTGTTGGTATGCAGAGACCAGACTGACCAAACTAAGGTCATCCCCAATCATGCACCTGTCCACTCCTTTCTGATTCAAGTACGCCACAAAACCTGGCAACTCATTCCCCTGGGCTGCTTGTCCACACGCTTTCATTAAATATCTGAAACAAATTCAAAACAGTTTCATTTACAATTTGATATAATAATAATTTAACAGTAAGAGCTAATTACAACTCCTTTCCCTGCACAGCATGTCTAAATGCCTTGATTAAATACTTAAAACAAACATACTTACTATTTGTTTATTCTTACATCTCTTTGGGGTACATGAAATGCAAACTGTGAACCTGTAATTTGGTCACCGATTTATGGAGAGTCCAACTGATGATATTCTGAGGTAACGTATGTCAATCATATATACGTACTTATGGCAGCCAGTAATATTTATTCAAAGGGAAAGTGCATTAAGGCATACTAACTGTTGATTAAATTTAATTAATTAATAATAGTTTTAATGAAAGTTGGCCATCTTTCCATTTTTTTTTTTTTTTTTTTTGTTAGTCCAGTGGCGGTCCAAAAGATGGCTGGACACATCTCTGGCGAAAGGCCTGACCAGTAAAAATGAATTGTAAAATTAACAGTCTGTGCAACATTTCTTTATGGTGTGACATATAGTATTACTATCAGGGGCAGATCCAGAGATATTTTCTGACAGTCTTCCAAGTTATCTTTGTTGATCCATCCTACATTTTTGACCGTCTTCTGACAGAAAAATCAGATACTCATCAATGTAAACTTGAAAATCTGACAGTCTTCCAGAAGACGGCCTCAATCCGCCCTTGCCTTTTACCTTGCTGTCTGTAGCATCATCACTGTATTCTCTCCCTCGTAGGTACACGCTGGTGTTGCATCCACATAGATCTTGGGCAGTCCACTGGCGTGGGAATAGCCATGGCCACCGCATGACAGTCGACAGGTCTCGATACCTTCATTGGTTGCCCAGGTGCTCATTGCCTTCAGTCCTGCTGACAGAGCATGAAGCTGTAAAGAAAAAATAAATACCAGACTAATACAGATAATATAAAAAAAATCTACTACTTAAAGGATTAATGTGAAAATCGGTAAAAAAAAAAAAAAAAAGAAAATTGTTTTTTTTTCAAAAAAGAAAATTGTTTTTTTTAATGCATTTTTCATCAGTGAGACAGGATGTTTTTTTACCCCCCCATTTCATCCCTTTAGAAACTGCGGACATTTTTCTATCATTTGTACAAAAGATAATGAAAAACATATTTCACAGATATAAACCTTGTAGCAGTTACTTACACATTCCTTTACTCTCCCCTTCTTTCTTTTATTTGTTTAATTATTTTTATTAAGGGGTGGCAATAAAGATGGCACAAAGGAAGCATGAATTTCAAACACTATAATAAATATAACACTTTGGTTTGAATACAACTGAGAATAACCATGTCACTGATTACACACTAAATCACTGGAACATGTCAAATGGTTAAGGGACCACTCCCACAGATATTTGGATCGATCTATCTCCCTGGGGAGTCTCACTTAATTGCTATCAACATAACCGGCTTAAATGTCTGTCACGCCAAGTAAAGCTGTTAGGGGGTAATTATCTTTACCATAGCTGATTCGGTAGGCGTGACAGACATTTAAGCCAGTTTAGTTGATGGCAATTTAGTGAGACTCCGCAGGGAGTTAGACCGATTCAGATGGATCTATCTGGGTATGGGAACCCAGTCTTACATACCTCTGGTAACCTCTTAAAATCCCCAGCCATGATCTGGCCCTGAATATCCAGGTAGGTCTCCCTCATGGAGCGACCAGCAAACCAGTAGGCATAGCTGGTGGCCAGCAAGGGAAATAACTTGTGTTGCTGGGTTTGGTAGTCCAATACCTGTGGCTCTGGTTCTCTGAATTCAAAAATAATAATAATAATAATAAAAATAATTATAATAGTTTGGTAGTCCAATACCTGGTTCTCTTAATTCAAAAATAATAAAAATAATAATAATAATAATAATAATAATAATAATAATTTATGTTTATTCTGCCAATGAAATTCAGGTTCACTGAGTAAAAATAGTAATGCCCCATGTAAATTATTTAATATCTAACATATAATGGACCATCAGTGATAATCCAAAGTTGAAAGACCCATGCCAATTGTCACTGAACCTGAAAACTGAATGAATTTCATAAAAAAAAAACTAAAATTCAATTAACATCATCAATACACAGACTTGACTTTTTGACTGTTCAATAAGTTTTGATTTCAAATTAGTCGTACTCTGAGGCCCACAGGTCCTAATGACCAGCCATCTTCAATTTTTCCATCCCAGAATGCATCACAGCCTTACCCGGGCTTCATCTCCGACTGTCTCCGCACTGCACTGTATCTTATAGCAATCGTGCAGGCCTCCCCCAGGTTCTTTGCTGCAGTACTTACAATTGCAGATCGTACAAAAACCATGGTGCCATAAGTCAGCTTCTCATTGGCCTTTCTTATGTAGCGACCATCTTTGGTTACCTTAAGGGAAAAATAACAAATCCGGTAAGACTCACTTTTAAATTTATTTCATTAAAACCAACCTCAAAACATTATTATCTATTTTAATACTCAAATTTTAATATTGAACTGAACTGCCAAACTAAGATTATAATATAAAAACTTAATTAACTAACCATCTTTCATTAAAACTATTTTTAATTAATTAAATTTAATCAACAAGTAGTATGCCTTAATGCACTTTCCCTTTGAATAAATATTACTGCCATAAATATGTATATATGATTGACATACGTTACCTCAGAATATCTCATCAGCATGTTGTCCCGTGGTATGCGGACATTGTGATAACGTAAGAAACCGTTGTCCACTGCCTCATAGCCAAACTTAGGGCCAATATCTCCCACCTCAACGCCTGAAATGTAAAACATAATAATAATAATAACAACAACAACAACAGCAACAACAACAATTATAATAACAGCCAAACTTGGGGTAGATGTCAAACTTGGAGCTGATATCTCTCTCCTCTATCCCTGATATGATAATCATGATCATTTTATTTTTTGGTATATTACCTGAGGATGAAATATTATCCTGAACATGAAAACTGGTATAGTTGACCACAAGTTTATTAGCTTCAATCCCATGCCAGCATTTTGGTTTACATAATGCCATACAGTAATTGGCAATGGCTGTTGGGCTTACATGTCCTTATGTTGGACAATGAAGGCATAAATACCATGACGTTTATATATAATATCACATAGTACCTGGCAATGGCTGGTGGGTTTCCATATCACTATGTGTGTTGGACAATGAAGGCATGGATACCATGACATTTATATATAATATCACATAGTACCTGGCAATGGCTGGTGGGTTTCCATATCACTGTGTGTGTTGGACAATGAAGGTATGGATACCATGACATTTATATATAATATCACATAGTACCTGGCAATGGCTTGTGGGTTTCCATGTCCTTATGTTAGACAATGAAGGCATGGATACCATGACATTTACTTGTAATATCACACTGTACCTGGCAATGGCTGGTGGGTTTCCATGTCTCTGTGTTGGACAATGAAGGCATGAATACCATGACATTTATATATAATATCACACAGTACCTGGCAATGGCTGGTGGGTTTCCATGTCTCTGTGTTGGACAATGAAGGCATGAATACCATGACACTTGCCACCCGTATACAGTTGGGCCAAGACTACGGCATGGTTGGTGGTTTTTCCCACTTAATAAATAAATAATCAAAATATTAATTAAAATGAATTAACATAAATAAATTTAAAATGAAAAAAGAATAGACTGAAGAAGTTAGTTATTAAATTCTAGGTAAGTGCTAACACTCACCAATTTAGTCAAATGCTTAAACTGACTTAAACTGGCTTGACAAAACAAGGTTGATGTGACTTGTTTTTATCAATTTGTTGAAAAAAAGATGAAAAAGTAGTGATTTGGCTACTTGAAAAAAAAATCCAGGGCTGTATTTTTCAAAAAGGCACTCAAAACCATCTAGTTTAAAGCTGCCTTACAATAATTCTTGGCAATAACTAAATAAATAAATAAATATTCATTAAAATAACAAATCTTACAATTTCCAGGCCACCATTTGGTAGAAGTCAGAGTAGGGCTATTGATAATAAACTGCTCGGTTTGGGGATCATAGGTGGCAGTAGTTTCCAGACCCCTCACAAATGTACCTGGAAGTGGTCAGGATTTCACATTAAAGTATCAGCAAATTAATTAATTTTTCAATTAAAAACCAATTAATTCATTAATTAATGAAAAGAGATAACATATCATTACAAAAGCATTTTTGTTTTTACTTTATTATTACATTATCTTTTCATTAAAAGTGTCCATACTTGAAACTTATCCCATTATATCTAACACTGACAAATTATTACCAGTATGTGAATTCAAATATTCTAAATTTAAATTTTGTTTTGTTTTTCTGAATAAACATTATATTTTGGTTTCAATTACTGCTACTTAAAACTTTTGTTTATTTCCCATACCATATAGCAATGTTACTGATATTGAAACAAACTCTTATGCACTGGCAAAAGTAAAACTAAATGGTCTTAATAATTGAAAGCGATGAAGAAAAATAAAATAGGCACAACCCCAAAAATGACAACTTAATATTTTTTTTCTAAAATTGGACTGTAGAAGCTATCAACCCCCTTTCCCATCCCCCCCCCCAAAAAAAAATAATAAATAAAATATCAGCATCCCTCAAAATACCACAAAAAAAAAAGAAAAAAAAAAAAAAAAGCAGAAGCAGTCACAGATAAGCCAAGCTGTCAGTTTTAATGCGAGGCCACATATCCGTGAAACATTTTTTCAGAGGAAACTGCCAAAAAAGTTTTTCGGTTATTTTTGCAAGCATTTAAATTTAATTAACTAATATTGACATTTTTGAAATGAGGCATGTGATCAGTGAAAGAATGGAAGCTATGCAGCATTTCAGACTCCATAAATGGAGAGAGCATGGACAAACAGAACTTGTTTTTGCATATAAAGCTTCATGGAAAATAAATTTAAATAATTTTCATATTTGTGTTTTTCATATTATACTGATCCTGGAGTACAAATTAATGTGAAAAAGCACCTTAGACACAGGAACCACTCAGTAAGCAGATAATATAAATAAAGCGCTGCAAGCAGTTTATTTATAACATTTTCATTTTTTTAATATTTCCTTCATTAAACATTTAAAAAATCAAATATAAAAATATTTTCACATTTTTGTGTCAGGCTTATTAAATAAACCCAGTCATATTCTTACTTGTTATGGTACATAAAAGGTTTACTCAAGTCAGAGAGGTAATGCTCCGAGTATCATAAGTCACTGGAAGCGCACTTCCAACTCTTCCTCTCTCTCTCTCTCACTCCGCAAACATAGTATTGTTTTTATGCAATTAACAAAGAAACTGAACTGTTCTTTGCACATTTTAATCTAAGTTAAATTGTACTTGTTTGCTTATCAAAGGCTAAGTATCAAATAAATGCAACATACCTTTGGCCTTTTGGGACACCAAGGATTAAAATAAACATTTCTTTAAAGCAACAGCCAGTGATCAAAAATATTAACAAACTTTTTTTATAAATCTCAGCTTAAATTTGACTTGCATTTAATATCATGGACTGCATCCAGTAAAGCAATGGGGAAAGGAGCAGGGAAATCTCAAATTATGGGAAAAAACAGCCAATTTTTTTGCAAGCAAATTCTTTTTCAATGGGCAATAATCACGCACATGGGCAATAAAAGCAAGATGAAGCTTTTCTTAATTTCATCTTACCATGACCCAACTCAGTTTGAGCATAGGTCCCAATAACAATCAAATTCTCACACAACGGCAGCCATTTTTCTCCCTGTTTCTCACTGCACTGGGCCATAAGCATTGGAATAAACATGCCATATTGAAGGGCCAAAGGAGAGTTTTCATGGGGAGCCGAAAAACTGGAGAAAAGATGATTTTACTAAGCATATCAAATGTTTCCAATACATTGAGACAAACTTTGGCTTTGCTCTCAGGTGAATTTTTCACTCCTCAGGTATCACTAGTGCAATTTCTTTGAGAAGAAAAAACACCGTAAAAAATTGATTTGAATTCTTTATCAAATGTGTTTATTTTACCATGTCTTAGTAAGAAAAAAAAATTAAGGATTTTTTTCACTTCAAATGTATGTATAGTTAAACTGTGTTCTTATTGTGACAGGCATATGCCAATCTTGTTTTTTTTTAAATACATATTCATGGTTTCTGTAAGGTACTACAAATGCTTTTCAAGGCCTTGTGAAGTGTAGTTGACATAGTTGACCACAAGTGTAGGGGCTCCAATCACATTGTCATTTTTATTTAAATGTGTTTTTTTTTTGTTTTGTTTTGTTATGGAATCATGAGTCCCTCTTTACAGATCTTTATTAAAACAAGGGCATTACTTTATTTTATCATTAATAAAATCTAAACTAACGCTATTAAGAAAATTGCTGGCAGAGTTTTGGGGTACTAAATGGTGTCATTAAATTGGTGTTAAAATGGTGTTTGTGGGTGCTCAGATAAAGGAGACATTTGAGAAATCAATTTTTCAATTTATACCCCAAAACTTTTTTCTTCACTCTGTCAAGTATAGACCTTTCCAGACATGAAATTATAATCAAGGGATCATGTTAGTGACATGAATGAAAAGAGCTGTTGTTACATAAAAAATACCAGCATGAAACATTGAAAAGTCAGACAGGTCCCTTTGAATATATCAGTGCCATTATACACCTTAACAATGCTTAACACAGACTGCTAATGATCAAGTTCTGCCAATGTAAATCAGACACATTAAAATGCAGGTAATATTCTAAACATTATTACAGACATTTTTTGATCATCAAAACAGATTCCTGCTTGATATTTCAAAGTGTTTGTGCATGTATATTTGAAGCTCAGTCTTTATTTTAAAAAATAAATAAATAAACATACATATTTATTTAAAATAAGGTTGGGATCAGCTGTAAGTTGTTTATATTATAGTCTACAGATTATATTGTATTTGTTATTATATAAACATCCATATTTATGTAACAAAAGGTGGGGATCAGCTGCAATTTGGTAACATTATAGTCTACAACTTATATTATTTATTGGGTATAATTTTCCGTCATTGCGATCAATTTCACACACCACTAATTAATATAGACTATTTTGGGCTCATTTCCTGAATATTTTAAACTTTTACTCCATTAAATGGTAACCAAGCTGAAAAACTAAACAGCTATCCTCTAGAAGACCACTCCCAATCACATGCCTCATTTCAAATTTGACTTTTCTTATTTTTATAATCTATAACAAACAAAGCAAAATGGGTCCAACAATAATACATACAAAATGCTCCTCAGAGAAATGATAATTGAAAATGATAAAATGCCAGTTATTTAGCCCTCTGATTCCATCCTACGTATAAAACAATAAAAGCCTGCCTGTAAAACTCCATTTCTAATACCCTTTACCTGACTACATTGATGTCAGTTTTTAACTTCCTTACCACCCCCTTACATCAATAATCCCAATATTCATACTAGACTAGCACTCCTGTTTCTGACTGCCATCTCAGATTCTACTATCCTTTCCAGCCTTTCTATTGATACCAATTATCCCAATTTATGGGACTGGGTTCCCAATTTCCTTACCATGCCCCACCTCAGTCTGAGCATAGGTTCCAACTATTCTGTAACTTTCACATAATGGCAGCCATTTTCTCCTCTGTTTGTCACTGCCCTGTCCTGCAATTGCTGGGATAAACATAGTTGTGTGAAGGCCTATTGGAGAACTTTCATGGGGCATTGCACCTCTGTGGATAAGAAAGCACCACTAGTGGGCTTGATTTGGTCTTAAAGTGCAATTTAAGAACACAAATAGTCTTACATGATCTTAAAACATGAGTAAGACCATTTCTAGTCTGACAGCCAATTTAGTTGTCTCCCCTTACACATTCTCCTATTGTGAGCAGAGGTGTCCTCTATTGTGAGGGGAGGTATCCCCCATTGTGAGGGGAGGAAACTGCTTGACCACTTAAGTAGATGTTAGATCATTTTTGATCTTAAAAGCAGATTCAGTCCATTTTAAGACTACTGCTGTAATGATTAAGATCGTGTAAGATCACTTGTGAACTTAAATTGCACTTTAAGACCAAATCCAGCCCACTAGTGCACACTCCTTCCCTCAATGTATATAAGCATTAACAAGAATAATTTCTTTTTTTAACTTTTCGGCCTGCATTCTTAGTTTGATATTGACATCGATTTTTGATGGCCCGGTTCATTAAAAGTAAATCTAGATGTATTTAGCTTTAGGTGTAGCAAACATGAGAGCTAAAACAAGCTCTCAATTAAGGGGGGTCGGTAGCCTAGCATGCTGTAAGACAAACACAACATTTACAAGCACAAACTCAATGAGAAATACTGTGATTATAATTGCATTTTAACAATTTAAATATTGGGAACATATCACCAAAGACCACAAAAGGGATGCTTAGGGACTGTTTTAAGACCATATATTTTTTAATGGAAGTGTTGATTGAGTCAATGATCACATGCCTCATACCAAATTTCAATAAAACTGAATTCCAATAAACTTTCCCAGAATAAATATATCAACTTTTTCACTTTTTTATATATGAAATCAAGTCAAGATTTCATATTCATTTTGCATGCCTAACATCAACAAATCAAATGTCCCAGACTTATTTCTTATGATACAGTAAAAGTAGTCTGCATCAAATTTCATCAACAAACCATTTCAATTTTCTTAAATTTGAAACTGGGTGCTGAAACCCATAATCCCCAAACAATTATTGTTTCCTTATTCAATAAATATCATTTTAATGTGAATTAAAACTATAACTTCAATCAAAGAAACTCCCATAATCAACCGCCACATAAAAATCACAAGACAAATATCGGAAACATTGAATGTACCATGTCCCATCTCGGTCTGATTATACGTGAATATGATTTGATAGTTTTCCATCTTTGGCAGCCATGTTTGTTGCTGTTCGTCTGTGCCTAGAGAGCGCACACAGGGGATTGACACTCCTTCGTGAATGGCAAGGGGGGAATTCTCATGAGCTTGGTAGATGCTGAAGACAAATTATAGTACATTCAGAACAGCTGACTAATAGATCCACGGTTAAAACATGGTTACCCACTAAAAATCTGTTGCTTAATTCCCAATTATACACTGATCAGATTCCCTGCAGGGGTTATGCAACATGCATTCAAGTGGGTCAGCCATATTTGATTTGACGATCTGTTAGTTTGCCTTTCCGAATGCGCTTTAAGTATCATGGTAATGATTTGACCTTGTCAGGGGGGGAAATTGTGAGCTTTACTGATACTGTTTATTTTTTAAGTGATAAATTCTGAAAATAATATCATTTCTATTAAGTGGCAGCAACAAAATTTAAAACAGGTTACCCTATAATTCTATTCCATACAGTGAAATCACAAAACATTTATTCAGAATAGAATTTTTAGTGAATCCAAAATTATGTTCCTGTCAGATTAAATTTCCCCATTTAAAAAGATTCAAGTCATTACTATACAGTACATTCGAATGGCTTTGAAATGTTAAAGAGATCTCTCATCACATTGCAGAACACTCTTCTGGCTGGAAAAACGGAATTTCAGAGAATTCCCTGATCTCCATACCTACGCTAGAGGGTATTTTATGCAGATTTCTAACGAGTTGTTAATTGTCAAACCATGAAATACTGGCAGATTCCCAACACAGTTATCCACAGGGTTGTATATATCATGGTAGAAATGGCTTGTTGGCCTTGTAACCGGGGGTTTAGAGGTCACTTAATGCAGAAAAAAAAAAAAAAAAAACTAGAAGAGCACTCAGAGAGCGCAGACCTCCGCCACGGCAGCGGTTTTTTATTATTATTGATTTTTGATTGATTATTGATCCTGATCATCACCAAAAACTAATCACTTCTAAGTTAACCCATTTCTGACCTACCCTGAAAATTTCATCTAAATTGGTCCATAACTTTTTGAGTTATGTTGATGAAAAACAGACAGAAAGATAGACAAACAGGGGCGAAAACATAACTTCCATGGCGGAGGTAAAAAAAGGAAAAAAACAGTGTCTGTAGAGCCACTGCACTGAGGTTACTTTAAAAAATCTTAAGGGTGAAATTATCATGAAATGTTTTAGGTAAGACCTGCTGTGAGCCTACTTCTACAGAATTGGTGTTGCTCAGTCAAAAATCAGTCTTTAATTAAAGGGAATTCAGAACAGCTACTTAAAAGGGATAATAACTCTTCGTATGAGATCTATATTTCACAATAAAAACATTGTGAATAACTCATAGAAATATAATATATTCTGTTTTACCACAAAAACGGCAGTTATAGCTATTATTCTGATATCTGAGCTTGTCTTTAGACCACGTGACCTCCACTGATGGCTATACTCTGCTAAAATCTCTTAAGAGATTTTAACAAAAAACCAAACTTTTTTGAAAAAAACCAGGGACTAACTTTGAATGTAAAAATGGATTCATTAACCATTGGTAAGTATGGGAAAATTGTTGTTTACTCCAGGAAAATTCATTTTTTG